ATTCTCCCAGTACAGCCCTTGCGCTTGGTTAATAAGATATATTTATTCTATTTGGCTTTCTTAATGTTGTAAACAAAAATACCACTAAGAACAAAGTACACAGATGTTACGAGGAATAGGATAATATAACCAAGTCCTATATCACATCTCAGCTTCTCAAACATGTCCAATATGATACCTCCCGTGGGTGTGGCAATGGCTTGTGGCAGGACAAGGGCCTGGGAGAAAAATGCATGTTAAGGTTCAGAAATGTCTGACAAAATTAATGTTGTAGAAAGCTGCTTTACATTTTTTTACCAATCTTGAGTGCCTTGGCATGGATGAAAAGTGTTCACAAAACAATCATCAGTTACTATCCAGCTATATTAACAACAATCATGGCATCTGAATCACCCAAGAAAATTGTTTGTCACACCCTAACATCTCAAGATCCATACAAACTACACCACTTTGATATTTATATTTAGAAACTGAATGTCCAATCACATCCTTTTCAAAAAAGAAACAGAGAAATTTGCAGTTTTGCTGTTTGTTACTTATGAGGATAGGTGAGATGGGAGGAACCACTGACAGCAGCGGGAATATTATGGTAAAGATGACAACGACAACTGACAATTGCCACTTAAAATGATAATTGATTAGAGCATTAAACCAAGGCACACTGTAAAGAAATGAATGCTCCACCTCTTTACTTTCCCTTGAACCTTCCCTCATTCTGTTGTCTTGACGACCCTTATATAAACATCACCATAGAAACCTCAGATATCATATTTACTCATGCTAAGTACATTTTATTGCAAATGAAATACATAAACTGTTACTCTCCAGATCCATGGTCTAAATGGTTCTTCACTCAACACTTGTAAAATATTGGTGAAAAGTTTTAAAGTATGCTTCAATGAAGAAACTAGTGAGCCAACTCATTTAGTGCAACTTTACAGCCCTGCCTTTACCTGGTGCCAAACAGCCAGATCCTTAGCTTTTTCTCTGTCATTAGGGAGAACATCCATCACAAGTGCAAAATCCACTGCACAATAAGCTCCAAAGCCCACCCCTAATAGAAAAAAATAGTAGGATGTTAAATTATGCTGTTGTTTTCAATGTGTTAGACCAATAAAATCTGATCTTGGCTGGCATGGGCTAGACTGTAGTGCCATCCCAAAAGAATACTTAGATATGGCAAGATATCTGATCAACCGCTCAAAATTTTAGGAACTCAACAAGTTGACATTAAAATTGTGTCAAATTTATATGGCTTCTACAAAAATGAAGATATAGATTAGGTAGTAAAATGGCCTCACTTTAAGTCAAGTGAGCCATTTTGTAACCACCTACCCTGGTTATCAGAGCATCTAATGACCAGGGGGCCATTCCTCAAGAGTCCCCGTAACTTAGCAGCCCTGAAGCCATGTTTTAAAGTCAAAGTTAAAGAATAGAGAAGCAAATTCTGGCACTCTAAGCAGTCCATTTTGTTTCCTTAGCAACTAGTTTTATGAAATAATTCTCAAAACTTTTGAAACTCCCATCTTGAACAAAAACCAAACAGCTTCACAAGCCTGTTTAATTACTGGGACCTTCAAGAAACAGGCTTCATCACTGGATATCCCACCCCCAGCCCCTCCCCCCAGCATTTCTATAAGGGCTCTAACCCCTAGGCTACCACCTCACTCGTTGAAACTTTGATTAAAGCTAAATGCTGCACTAACCAAATGTTAAGGCTACTGGCATTGAAGCGTAAAAAGCATATTTCCCCTGCAATCCAGCCAGTATCACTGCACAGACACTCATTAATATTGCTGCAACAGAAAGCAATTTTAAATTCACTGTGGAGGACTGGTTTACAATGGCTATAATAATTGTAAGTGCATCCTGAAACTTGAGCCTATGTTTTTCAAGCTTGTACAGTTATTGTCAATCTCTTCCATCCTTCGCAAGCCTTGTCCTTTTCCTGCATGGTACTTGTCAATAATGACAAATTATTTCATCAAAGTTCTCTTCTATTAAAAGGCAACACTAGATATGAATGATATAAACAAAACGACCTTAAGATGATGCGACAAAGCTCCCTTAATGATATAGACTAATAAATATGTACCTGATCCAATAACAAGAGGTTTTCTTCTACCAAGCCTATCAGATAGGAAGCCTCCTATAACAGAACTAACAAATACTATGTGGTTAGAATTTGCCTAATTTTGTTAGTAGTGAAGGTGTAGTCTGATCGTCCAGGTGAGTGTAGTCCTGAGAAGGACTGTTGTCGGTGGTAGTGACTGACGTTTCGACAACCTGTACGGAAGTCATCATCAGAGATGATGACTTCGACAACCTGTGCAGAAGTCATCATCAGAGATGATGACTTCGACAACCTGTGCAGAAGTCATCATCAGAGATGATGACTTCGACAACCTGTGCAGAAGTCATCATCAGAGATGATGACTTCGACAACCTGTGCAGAAGTCATCATCAGAGATGATGA